CCACCATTCCAGTCTGGTCATACCGAGCACACTACGAGGTCCGTATAGGGAGGAACGAGAAGATTGATCGAATATATCCTTCACCATGTCATTTCCGTTTAAGGTTGAAGAGTTCTGTTGGGATAAGCGAGTGTTTAGCAGACGGCTCAGAAATTCCAGTGCAGGTTTTCGATCTTCATTGTTGCGTCTGGAAAGATGGTGATCTATAGCACGACAACTTGTATCTATGCAGGCCTCATGCAGAGGAAACAAGCTTCCATGGTCCGGGCTATAGGACAGAGTGTCGAACAAAATATCATCTTGCCCGGCAGGACCAGCGACCTCAAAAAACCCGGTTCCAGCAGCGCGGAAGGAAGAGGGATCAGAGAGAAAGACACCTCGAATTCCAGAGAGATTATTTGGACTTTTGGGGAAGTCAGCTACAGTGGTAGAAATGAGATTGGCTACTTACGTTGCTTCTGAGGTGACTACCATGTGGTCAACATCACCAGTGTTACCGAGTAGACGAAATCGATATAGCCACTGAATCACGTCAATAAAGGACATTTGACACGTTGATTCGCGACTGCGGTTTCGTACCTGATAACGTGGGTCTTTGGGATCAATGTTGTAGACGTCGCCGTCGAGGTCGAATGGGCCGCCGCAGATTACACAAAAGGTCCCGGCTTCCATGGCGTGTTGCGCGTCACTCTTCCATTCATTGTGCGTCTGCGAGGAGGTGAAGTTGCCCATGTTTACATGCTGCAATTCGGTCAAAGTCGTGATAAGGTTGCGGCACGCAGGATGTTATTGTGCAGAAAGGTGAAAAGTGATCGTCGCGTCGTTTCAAAAGGAAGCTACAGCCGTGCACGAAACGAAGATAAGCAAATCTTGTGCCAAATCTTGTCTTAAATCTTGTCGCAATTGGGATGTTTCTGGCCAAGTTTGTCCGGTGGCACCGTGGCACCGGCTGTCATCGATGACGGTAGCGCAAACCGCCTGTGTAGCAATGATTGGCGGTGTACCGGTGTCGTCCCGTCTTTCCCAATCTGGTATAGTGAGCTGACCCACCACGTCCGAAGCAGCCCCGGGGTCTCTTTTGTCTCCTACCCACGTACACATAGAGAGCCGCTGGCTATGCTGACTGTCAATATTCCAACTCATACCGCTCATAGGGGCGCTTTCTCAGCTACCTTCGCCGCGCTGATGAGCCGTAAGAGCCATGTTCCACGCTGTTGCGCATTGTTCGCGATGACATCAATTACTGCCATTGTTTGGCGCGCTTGCCGTCTCTCTCTCCCAGCTACCTCCGAAAAAGGCATCCGGAAACAAGTACGGTGCAGCTACTAGTCCCACGGCTCAAACAAGATTCAATCAAGTGATGCTTCGTGGCAAAAGCAATTATCCACTCTGTTCCGCTGCGTAGCAGGCGGCTTAGACGGTCATCCCTGGGTCTTCAGCTAGTACCATATGCGCGTCTTTCACGAAACAGGTCGCTAGTAACATGGCGCCCATGCGCCCAGAAACCGTATCCAAGAAAAGAAGCCAAACGGTGCGGATGTCCGGATGTCCAGATGTTCGGTGAGCAAATGTTCTGCCAGCTGAACTTTTACCGTCTGGCATCAACCATCTACCCGACATCATCTTTCCGTCTGAAATCATTCAATCCACACATACTTACATTCTTAGTCCATGAGCAGCTCTGAGCTTTTGTAATTACATCCCATGTCTCGCATTTTACCACACTTCAGAGTCGGTATTGCACGCGTCCAACATACGAACTGGCGCTCACTCAAACGCTCACTCGGCCCGATGAGTCCCACCGAATGTTGGCTCCAGTCTGACAGACGAATAGCAAAGCTACATTTCACCATCTGTCGTTCGGTAGCGCTTACTCGTAAGTTGTCTACGAGGACGAGGTAATGTTAGAGGGGGGGGGGAACATGTTTGTATAAAGTATAAAGGTCATGTCTTTCTCTCCATACCACAATCAATATCCTTCCATTCAAAGTCATCGAACACTTTCGGGTCAAGCAGATTCATTTATATCGCGATCACCAGTTGGTGCACAAGCCAAAACAACACGGATCAATATTCTATCAAACCAAAATTCTCGGCTTTTTCCAGCTTACCATACGCTACGCGGCCTCCTCCCTACTCTTCCTCGCTGAATACTACCCAAAGCCAAAGCTATCACATCAACCATTCCAATCCAACTACTTCCTCTCCATCGATTCCGCTTTGGACATTCTATCAGCAAGCAAATCGATCGCGCAAAGATGAGATTCATCTTGTTCACTCTGCTTGCCTCCACGGCTCTAGCCCAGAATATATATTGTGGTGTAGTAGCTTGTCGCGTGTTCGGCGTTAGGTAATCGGCGCTAGGGTTGAGTATTTTAGGACGACTCCGCGTAGAGGAGCTCGACATCATCGGATCATCTTATCATCAGTTATCGTACACCATTCTTAATACTACCGTTTGTTATTCGGATACCTTCCTTTTCTCTACTCTCTACCGATTGCGGGTCGGCAGCCTCTCTTCTGACTATTGAGACTATCCCTCTACCACAATATTCCTTCACCGGCTGCGACCATGACGCGATTCGACAAACTTATTACAAATGCGGAACGGCGAAAAATTGCGCATACCTTAATACTGATTGCTACAGGCGGTGCATTCGCCCAGGCACTGCAGAAGGTCGAAACAACTGGGCCTTATCTACTGATATCATTAATGCGGCTGGGCTTCATATACAATGTGGCTGCATGTGCCGGTTGGTAATTCCCTGAAAGAGCCAGGGTATGATTCACAAGGGGTGGACATGCTATAGACGTTTTTGGGTATGGTCCAAGATACGGTGAATGAGTGCTAAAGAAGAGTGCCAGATTAATGACAGGTGGGTCCATGTGAAGAAACGGTATCGCTCAGAGAACATCTAGAAATCGAGATAATCGATGAGAACAATATCAATTGTTGAGAAAGAATGACTCTCTCAGTCATGGCATGTAAGTGTGTCAATTGCTAACTATACAAAGCTCGGCTAATATAGAGCGGTGTGGGTCATGTGACTTAGCGTCCTCGTGACAGGTGACCGGAATATTCTCAACACTCCCCCATAAGCCGATCAGCTGTACCCACTACTTTGTATAGGTCTTGCAGTCGAAGCTTCTTCTCCCTTTATATGCTTCCACTGAACGCCTTGCATGCACTTTCCAACACTCCCCCAGAAGTGCCTTGTCAACAAGAATGAAACCTCCCTGTCACCCTATAGTGGCCGTTACGTTGCGAGTCCCTCAAGTAAAGTGAGGTATCGGCCGAGTGAAGAGTTGAGGAAAGAAGGTCGAGAAAGAAGGTCGAGAGAGAAGGTCGAGAAAGAAGGTCGAGAAAGAAGGTCGAGAAAGAAGGTCGAGAAAGAAGGTCGAGAGAATTTTCGCGTTTGAAAATCAAGGTAGAATCGATATCACCAACATACCGACTCTCCCTCGACTCCTACGTGAGAGTCAGCGCTCCCTCAGCTTGGTACTCCCAGTACTCTAGCTGTGTACGCTCTCCTCTGTCCCAGCGCTCCCCCAGCTTGGTACTCCCAGTACTCTAGCTGTGTACGCTCTCCTCTATCCTAGCGCTCCCCTAGCTTAGTACTCCCAGTACTCTAGCTATGTACGCTCTCCTCTCTTGTTGTCCCCGCTCCGTTCCTCCGCTCCTGCCTCCTTGTCTGTGTCCTATTCAGGGCTCCAGACCCTAACACCCTTATTCTCCCCCATCGTTATATAAGCCTTTGCTTCTTTGCGTTTATTTAACGAAATCCTTTGGAAAGAAGATAAAAATCGATCGAGAAATCGGGTGGGGGTAGGTGGGTAGCGTTCGAGAGAGTAAAAAAACTTCGAGCACCGTCAAACGGTAGGTTTTCGAGTTTAAGGAATTGAAAGTAGCTGTCGAACTGTAGCTACTAGTTTAAAAAGAAGGTCTCGAAAGGTTACTATCGATAGGCAGGCAATTCGAGTTGTTTTCGGAAGAATCGATGGTTACCGTCGGTAGGTAGGTATTCGAATCGTTGTCAAAAGGTTGGTTGAAAAGGGATAGAGCAACCATTGCTCTCTTCGACTCGCGCGTCGGAATTGGGTATAACTCGCCCAAGGTATCTTCGAGACGCTCCCAGCTTCTCCGGACGATAGTCCATTTTTCTTCGGACTTAATACCCTTCGCGGTAGCCAGGGCGACGGCCCAGTGTCTTCAGGACTTAATACCCTTCGCGGCAGCCAGGGCGACGACCCAGTGTCTTAGAATATAGAAGGCGACGACCTCCTGGGTTGTTCTGGCGTAGACACGCATATACCAGCTTGCTGCCCATATCGAAGAAACGACACTCCGGACACTCACAATGCACACGCAAGCGCGTAAGCCGGGCTCATAACCTGTTGAGAAAGAATGACTCTCTCAGTCATGGCATGTAAGTGTGTCAATTGCTAACTATACAAAGCTCGGCTAATATAGAGCGGTGTGGGTCATGTGACTTAGCGTCCTCGTGACAGGTGACCGGAATATTCTCAACATCAATTTTACATCGCACGGTCTTCATGTGCCAAAGGAACCACAGGCGCACTTACCTAGCGATGGAGTCCTGACAGCAAACGCTGATTTAGGAATTGATCACACATGCCCAGATTCTCATCAACCCAGATTTTCCTTGTCGCCAACACCATCGTGTTTCATAGACTTGAGAAAGAGACGTGGGTATCTAAATTCGGGATGGCATGTAAGCACTAACGTTGGTGATCTTGTCCAAGTGCATCCACGGCTTGGTATGAGGTCGTGTTAAGATGCTCACTGCGCTAGTCTTTTGGGTCACTTCCAAGTTGGGCACGGAACTGCCGCAAGCGCGACTAACCTAGAAAGACAACTGCCCCTATGAACACGACAGAAATCTGTGTATGACTTGGAACTAGACTTTGCAGCATTTTCTACACCTATGCATTATCTAGAATCTTCTTTTTTAGTTACAGTACGTCACAATATAGCATACGGGCAAGACGTTACCTACTGTAAGTACCGAGGTACCTGTTAGAGTTTGCTACCTGCCGCAGTTTGCTACCTACCACAATTTCCTACTTGCCGTAGTTTGCTACCTACACATGTGCTTAAATACCAGCACGCCGATTCCTCTGCGTGTCAAGGATCAGAAACGGAGGGTTGTATTGAGAGCAGTTTTCAATTTGTATTGTGGTATACACTACTATGGTATCGTCGGTGACGTCAAGAGATGAAGTGGGCTACCCCCGGAGCTCACTATACTCATGGTCCAACAGACATCGATGCAATAGCTTTCTGTACGATTCTAGGCCTTGTATCTCATTCTTAGACTTTTGACTCTCTCTAACACGTAACGAGCTAGGCCGCGTACGGAGCGCAGTACCCGACATTCTAGGAATATGACGAGTATTGACTGGCATCATCCCGATTTATGATTCGCTGGAGGTGCTGGAGGCGCCACAGAGAGCTTTAGGCCAACATATGTCTGCTATTATATAATTCCTAGTGGGGATCAACCAGAGATGTCAACAAGCAAGTCAAGCTGGCTTGATTCTTATCGATTGCAGATCACAGACAATATAGAGGCTCGTGCACAGTGGCACGTGCCATAGAATGGTCTGTCATCTGCACTCGATAAGAATCAAGCCAGCTTGACTTGCTTGTTGACATCTCTGGGATCAACCTATGCAGTGGTGAGGTAGAGAGACTTCTACCGCCACTGGTCACCCGGGCAACCTCTGTGTTTCCTTTCACTCAGGCCTTGCCACTAGCTCCTAGGCAGCCGTGTGCTCAGACCCCATTTGTCTTTACTGACTCATACAACTGCCCCTCACACCTATATAATTTCTTCCCATCGAGCAGTGGTTCGCTCTCCACCACACCCATTACCTTTTTGATACACGAAACAGCTGGCGATCGCAACACTGACTTGTAAGTTAAATTTTTCATCTCGATTAACCTGGGGGCTTTTAACCCACCATATGATCGCTCAAACTGGACCTTTGAGCAGGTAGACTGACTATATGTGGCAAGTACTCTGACTACGCGCACAATGGGGCGCTACGAAACGATCAAGGCGCATACAAACGTGGCCATTTCCTGGATAGTGGAGACGGCTTGCGCCCACGGAAATGGTGTGCGCGCTTTTGATGATACACAAGACCAGGGAGCCACATCCACCAGTGTAGGTAGCACGGTCCCAAAACCCGGCCGCCTCAAAGGAAAGGCCCGCAAAGAAGCGAAGCAAAATGCTCAGAAATCGGCCGGAACGACAACATACAGGGTCTCTACTGAGGAGATATTACGTCAGGGTCAATACCTGCAGGATCTTGGCGTGACCATCGTCATGTTGAGTAATGTGTGGTGTTCATTCAGAGAAGCTGTTCGGGGCCGTCAGAAATACGCCGACAAATTCGCACAGGAGCAACCGGAACACCAAGGCAACGCCGGACACGTATACTTTCTCGATGTGCTACGTCGAGTTACAGAAATGCTGTCAGAGGTCATTCAAGTTCAAAGGATCTCTTCTAGTCAAAATGAAACACAAGAAAACAGCTCTAGATTCTCCAACTTGTTTGAAGCCCTGAGCATTGACGAAGTCGATGAACCGATCGAGAGCCAACCTCATGATGACCCGGTCACTGATGACTCGGCTCTTAAGGAATCGAATAAGCCTTCGACGACACGTTATGAGCCAGCCATTGATGTATCAGAGGAGCTCAACCTCCGTTGGTATTGCTTTCGCGATGAAGTAATTTCTATAACTGGGTGGGTATCCCAGATGTGGGCAGGCTATACGAAATCCGGCAATATCAAGGACCTATGGCTTGTCACACTGCTATCCGACCTAGCCATTGAAATGATCTTCAAACTATATGAAGAGCTACCCGAGAAGTTAAAAACGGATGAAGAATCGACCAAAGTGGTGAACTTATTGTTTGAGAATTGAGACATCCCTTGTCTCGCCACGGGAGCATTCAATAACACCAAAGTGAAGACGTTGGACTGGCCAATATCTATCAGGTACTTTACTAAGCGACACCCCAATTTTGAATATCCCGGCATAGAACGCCTTGAGGGTTTGAATACCACAATAATTCAGTACGTCAGCGAACTTTCAGTGGAGCTGCGGGCTCGTCGCGACAAGTGGGAAACGGGTAGTTTCCATTCCATCAGCAAGGCTAGTCTCGACCAGATCTCACGGTCGATCAGTGCCAACCTAGGGGCCAGTGGCTTTCAATTTCCGCGCGCTATTGCGAGTCACATGTTGTTAAATATTATCAACGCATGTAGTTCGAATATTGAAGTACCTTTTCATTGGGCTAAAAAGCTTGCAGAATTCCGCACTAGACAGTTGGAGCTTTTCGGGGTTGACAGGTGTGAACGGTCTGTAGGTACTGTATTCCAGCTACCTAATCCAGATGCTATTTACAGTCGAGATGAAGAGAAGAAGAGGAAAGTGGGCGGCCATCTCGCTTTGTTTGGGTTGGCGCACGGCGCACGGGCTGCTGGGGGAAGGAGTGATAGAAGGAAGGAAGCGACTAGGCCAGCGGCCTATTCATGTGACCTAGGGCTCAGCCCGTTACAACAGGGTGATATATCCTCCACCTACAATTATCTTGGCCAAGGAATACGATGCTCTGGTCTCATGGACACGGAATTGGCCTGGTCAGGCGACGAGATACGCAGCAATTCGAAACATCGACTCGATTCATCCTCTCGCTGGATACCATCGCGACATGTGGAAGCATTTCGACATGCCCATCGCTGTTAAGGAGAATGTCTGTGAACAGTATTCTCATCTTCCCGACCACGAAGGAGATCAACAAGCGCGTTTGAAGTACAGCGAAAACTTCATCATGCCACTAGAAGATCCCAACTTCTTGCGCAAGAAAAACCCGCTTGTGCCCGGAAACTAGCTCTTGATCTGTGTTTCCGACATCTCGAAATAGGCTACCATTTTGCAACGTACAACTGTTAGTTGTTTGCAATGTGCCACCTCTACGACGCCCTTCGACAGCTTGGTTACCTAGATACTGCGTGGGTGCAACTCGACAAAGTGATGAGCTTGCACATCAGCTCACTGTTTCTCGGCCAAGTTCGAACAGAAAGTCCGCGATCAATGGCAAACCGCGCTTTTCTCGACTGTGGGGCACCTCCTGAGCTTTTTCGATCGTCTGGTTCCAATAGGAACCGTCGTGAAAAGAATTTCGAGAAGCTTTTGGTAAAGAGTACGAACAAGTCGGGTGCTTTTGATTGGTCGCCGATGATGGCCATCGTCGCAGACCACCTTCATGACCGAGAGCCGCTGCGACGCACGTTGTTTCGCTTGGATGAAGAAATGGTGGCACAAGAGTCCAAAGCAACTGGACGCTCAAACACAAAGTCTTTCCTTGAAAACAGTGATCCCATCGCCTTTCTCGAACGTCTGCGCGATCAAGTCAAGCATTTCAACCTTCACTTTGCAGCAGACTACTATGGGCCGGTCCGCACTTGCGGCGGGCTATTTGAGACCATGGTACCAGACGATGAACAGCAAAAGGGACATTCGGTGCAGAACCCGGCCACTGCAGACCTATGCGCAGTCTTGTCAATATTGGGGGAACTTGCGGTATTGAGCGAGAGGGCTCGTCCAGGTACGCCTGCTGAGAAGTCGCCTGTTGCTACGCATATCGCCGGCGTTCTGAAGAACTACATCCAAGGCGGTATGAGTGTTGCTGAGCTACATTCTAAGTTCAAATACAGAGAATCCGAGTAGACATGTCAGAATGGTCGCTTTCGAACGACTGCAAGCAGGGAAAGCTACTTCCTGACTTCGCGATCGGAGGATCAATAAAAACTGTGTGTCGGAAACGTTAATTTGCATGTATTGGTTTGTATATTGGTTAGAGGCGGATTGAATGAGGCAATGTTCAAGGATATAATATGAAGATAGTATGATAGTTTAGGTTAGATGGATATTTTTACAGAATAAGACACTTATATACAGACTTGTCATTAAGCAAACGCGTTTGAATAGTTTGTTTGATTTGCTTGACTATAAGCAAATTAAACAAACCAAACGCTGCCTATAGAAATATACAAACAAATCAAACGTACGATCGAAATTTGTTTAGTTTGTTTGACTGTTTGACTAATATTACATAGCGAGCTGTTCTATAGATGATGTCCTAAGGTGTTTTAAGATCGACTTTAATGATGTTTTTGAGATAGCGGAGGTAGCAATTTCTGTGAGGGACGTCAATAGTTGAGATGACCGTATCTGTATTAAGTACTAAGTGAGATATTGCGTGCAGGTTCGAAGACCTGCGCGGGTCGAACTTTGGTGTTCGGCTGTGGCCTTCGCTTAAGGCGCACGGGCCACCTCGCTTACTAGAGGTCGCGGGTTTGATCCATGACACTACCCCCCCAAAAAAGAGAGCAAGTTCCAACGCTCGAACTGCCTTTTTTTTTTTTTTTTTTTTTTTTTGCCTAAAATTGTATACAAAGGAGATACCTATATCGCAAAACTGCTGCATACCAAGCGTGTCGCTTGCAGTGTCCATTCCATTACTACATTCTATTCCCGTTGTCTGTGCACAGTAATTATGGATCATCATCGTGGCGTGGTGACCTTAGCATCTTGTCTTAACAATAGTAACTTTGACAGTCTAGTCCTTGCCACGAGCACAGCGTCTATAAGTCCTATTTCTAGCACAACTTATCGACGCCCTCGATTATAGCAAGCACAACTATATTATCCCAGTCTTATTGTTGGTCTTGTCTGCTGTTGTCACCACTGGCTAGACACGACTAAGAGCGTGAAGTCGCATAACCAGCATATCTTGTTTGCCTGTGAGAGACTTAAACTTCCTGTGCATAGGCGGCTTGTTTGGGTGATCAAGGTGATAGCGCGTCACAGTGTCAGCGGAGTCCGCGAGGTTCATGTATGGTTCCCATGAAGGATTGTCGGGGCCGTCGGGATAGTTTGCCCATCGTACCAAGTATTGGAGCAGGCCTTGGGTAGTCTTGCCCTTGCGACCGCGGGCGGCAGGATCCTTAAGCTTCTTATTAATGCGGCAGTCTTCGATTGCTTCGACAGTGTATTCAGTGTCGTCTTCCACTTCTGGGTCGAACTCCGCAGGGACCTCAGGATCTTGTGTTTGTCCAGTAAGTGGGTTGTCGTCAACCAAGTGTAAGAGCCATGGGTGGAAGACATTGTGGATGCGCTTCATGTTAGCGGGAAGATCTAGCTCGTATGCGGTGTTGTTGATGGCGCGAACGATAGTAAAGGGACCGCGGTTCTTTAGGTCTAATGACGCGGAGGGTCTTTTCGTCCGTAGGTTGCGAGTGTCCAGCATCACTTGGTCGCCGACTTTGAAAGCTGGTGCGGGTAGCCTTCCTTCATTGGCGTATTCTGCTTGTTTTGCTTGCGCCCATTGCATTGAAGCTCGCAGCTCGTCCTGCAGCGTTTTCATGCGATCCGCGAAAGCGTCAGCGTTGAGACGTTCTTGTTGCGCAGGCGCAGTCAAGGTCGCAGCGCCTGGCGCTGGCGCAGGGGGTTCAATGCCACTCCGTGGGTTGTATCCTTTAGTCGCGAAGAAAGGCGACTTGCCAGTTGTGCTGCTGGTGCTGGAGTTGGCTTCGAATTCAGCTATTGGCAGAAAAAGCGCCCAGTTATCCTGCTCGTAGTTGACATAGGCGCGTAGGTATTGCTTGAGGTAGGAGTTCGCGTTCTCGGTTTGTCCGTCAGTCTGGGGATGGTGAGCGGTCGAGAACTTCGGGCGTACACCCAGACGCTGGCATAGTCGCTTCCAAAAGTAAGAGACAAACTGCGCTCCACGGTCTGAGATAATCTCCTCAGGAAAGCCCTCTTCTCGCCAGATGTATTCGATAAAGGCTACCACAAGGGCGTCGGTGGTCATACTAGCCATTGGGATGAACTTCTTCTTCTTGGTGAGTCGGTCGACTACCACGAGGATGTCAGTGAACGTTTGACCGTTATGCCTGCAGGGCGGCAGGTGAGTGATGAAGTCTATAGAGATGCTGGACCAGTATTTGCTGGGGATTGGTAGCGGATGCAGCAGCCCATGCTTGCCTTCTCGGTATGCTTTGCTCCTCTTGCAAGTCAGACACGCGCGTACATATTGCGCGACGTCCGTGGTCATCCTAGGCCAGTAATACCATCGCGACAGCTTGGAGTATAACTCATGTTTGCCGCTGTGGCCACCGCAGACGCTCTTGTGGGCTTGTTCAATAACTTGGGTGCGAACGGCGCCGGCGGGGACGTAGACCTTGTTGCGCACATAGAGTAGTTCGTCGGTGATCTCGCAATCGCCAAGTTCCAGCCTGAGGTGCTCTTCTCCATGTATGAGTTTGAACGGCAGGCGTCGTAGGCCGTCCTTCTTGGCTTTGACGATCGCCTGCAACACCTTATCATCCTTGTATGCTGCCTTGATATTGTCAAGCAGAGCATCAATAGTCAGCTCGTTGTTCGGTGGCGCGGGCACATTAATTGCGGCGGGCGTCTCGTTTGGTATCGCGGGCGCACTAGTTGCGGCGATTGGCGTTGTAATAGGCGAGATTGTAACGTTATCGGCTGCACAGAGCGATCTTTTGCTCGTGAGGTCATGGGAGACGCCGTTTTCTCCCCCCTCAGGCTCGATGCCAGGCAGTGCGGCGAGGACGGCGTACCGTTCAGAGATGTTGTCTTCCTCGCTAAGTTGATACAGCATTTGCGCGACTGCGGGGATAGAGTCAGGAAGGGTGCGCTGTGTGATGAGATTTGCGAGGTAGACTGCATGGCGAGAACCTCCATCCTTGGCGATGTTGATGGTGCAGACGCGCGCTTCAGGATCGACTTGGTCAGGCTTGATGACTACCTGGAGTTGATGCCGACGGCGGATGTCGTCGGGTGACTCGGGTAGGTCGCCAGGACGCCTTGTCAAAGCGTCTGGCTTCGTGCCCTGCTTGCCTGGCCTGTACTTGATAATGAAGTTGAACTCTGCCATGAATTCCGCCCAACGGGCTTGGCGTCTGTTGAGGCGCTTTGTGGTCATAAAGGTCTGAAGGGCTTGATGGTCAGACAACACCATAATAGGATCATCAGTACCAGACAGCTCAAAGCGCCATTGCTCAAAGGCGTTGACAATAGCTAGGAGTTCCTTGTCGTATATCTCATAATTGCATTCCGCAGGGTTCATCTTGTGCGATAGGAAAGCAACTGGGCGGAGGACTCCTGTCGCGTCCTTCTGAGAGAGGATAGCTGCAGTAACGAAATCTGAGGCATCGGTTTCCAACCAAGTCTCTAGGTCAGGATCGAAGTGTGCAAGGACTCCTGCAGTCTTAAAGGCGTCCTTAAGTCGATGGAAAGCTTGTATAGCTTTGCTATCAGCGATGAGCGGGAACTGATGTCTCTGGTCCTTGCCTTCGCCATCCTTGCGCGTGAGTTCTGTCAAGGCTTTTGCGATGTAGGAGAAGCCTTTGATGAAGCGACGGTAGAAGTTGGCGAAACCAAGGAAAGACTGGACGTCTTTGACTGAGCGCGGTATTTGCCAGTCTAGTATAGTGGAGACCTTTTTTGGATCCATTTCGATGCCCTCTGTAGTGAGGATGAGGCCTAGGTACTTCACTTTCTTGACCTTGAATTTGCACTTCGTGGGATCAAGATGGAGGCCAGCGTCGCGTATCTTAGAGAGGACCTTGATGACGTCGGCTTCATGAACTGACTCGTCATCGTCGCAGGTGTATATAAGGACGTCGTCGAGGTAAGCTGTACAGATATCGTCAAGGTACTCGCGGAGTGTCTCATTGATAAAGGTCTGGAAAGTGCCAGGCGCATTGCAGAGGCCGAAGGGCATGACAACGTATTCGTATAGCCCATACCGAGTGAGAAAGGCTGTCTTTTCTTCATCGCCTTCTTTGATCCGAACAGTGTTGAATGCAGCCACAACGTCGACAATCGTCATCCATCGTACCTTGGCCATGCGGGCCAGCGTTTCCTTGATGGAGGGTGGAGCGTTGCGGTTCTTCTTGGTGATGGCGTTGAGCTGACGGTAGTCAACGCAGATGCGAAGTCCGCCACCTGGTTTCTTGACAACTAAGACAGGTGACGCGTACGGAGATGTGGACGGTCGGATGAATCCGCGTCCGAGCATGTCGTCGATGTAGGCCTTGATGGCCCTGGTCTCCGTTCGTGTGAGCCCATAGATCTTAGGCTTGTGAATGCGTCCGTCGGTGTCAATCTCATGGTCAACGCCTTCGCGATGAGGTGCCAACTTCCCTGCTTGTATAGGACTGAACAAGTCTGGCATCTTGCTGTACAACCAGTCTGGCACCAGTTTGCGGATCTCCGCTTCCGTCATATGTGGACTCTCCATCTTGTTCATATAGTGGTCGTAGTCCTCTTGTGTGACGGCGGCGAGGCGGGCGATGTTGCGTTTGAAGGAGTCTAAATCGCAATCGTTATTGTCGTCTGGAGGGTCAGCAAGCTTCTCCCAGTCTTGTGGTTCGACCCAGATGGCTTCGTCTGGGTTGTGCGCAGCCATGAGGTAGGCGGCCTTGGCGGTGATAATGCAGATCTCGCCCACGGGCGTGGTTTGCCGAGATTCTGAAAGTGATGGAGTCTTGCCGTCGCCGTATACTGTCTCAGGGAGACCGTGGTCGAGACAACATGAAGTACAATGTGAAGAAGAGAACTTCATGCTCCGCGGTGAGAAGGTGAGACCGGGGTCGTGGTCTTCCAGCCAAGTCATACCAAGGATAAGATCAAAGTCTCCT